CTATACAAATATGTGGTGGATTGTCCCTGGCTGGACACCAGGTGACCACCAAAGCTCCTCCATCACTCCCCCTCCTCAGCTGGACAAGGGAGAGAAAATATAATGAAAGGCTCATGGGTCAAGATAAGGATAGGGGGAGATCACTCGCCAATTACCGTCACAGGCAAAACAGACTCAACTTGGGGAAATTAGTTTAATTTACTACCAATCAAATCAGAGAAAGGTAATGAGAAATAAAACCTCTTAAAAGAGTTGTTGCCCCAGAAAAGAAAGATTTTTATCTGAAGTGTCCATCTCTGTCTTAAAGCTAGTATTATAGATATGACCTCTAATGTTCATCAAAACATGGGAGCCAAACTTGACACAATTGCAGTAGCTGTAACTTCTACTGCATGAGCCTCTTCCCATTTATTTCTATTTTGGGTCCTAAATGTTTTTATAATGGAGTATCACAAATATTTACATTTTTGATATCTAAGACCTTAGACTGTGGACTGCCTTTGTCACTGCATTCCCTTCCCTTTAGCTGTGCCCTACAGAGACAGCATCATATTCTTACCTGCAGTTTTTTGTACTTGTTTCCTTACTGCTTTGTGCCAAGAATTACATTAGTACCCATTCACTCATAGGCTTCTCAAGGTGCATGTGCTTTCTCAAGGCACAGATTTCAGTAGGGAAGCAACTGTATGCTAAGGCCCAAACACACAATGACTTGATTCTAAATAGATTTTCTTTTTGTTATCTGTTTCTCTGACTCTGATTATCTTAACATTTCCTTTACAGGATGAACCAACTACTGGAATGGACCCTCAGTCCCGGCGCCTCCTGTGGGACTCTATTGTCAGTGTGCTCAGAGATGGGCGAGCTGTGGTTCTAACTTCACACAGGTAAAAAGAGTTAGAATTCAGAATCCCAGAGTAGCTGAAGTTCATCTGCTGGCTTTTACCTCAAATATCTGTTCTCTGTTTTTAAAAGTATGGAAGAATGTGAAGCTCTCTGTACTCGTTTAGCCATCATGGTAAAAGGTACCTTCAAATGCCTGGGCACAATTCAGCAGCTAAAATACAAGTAAGTAGAATATTTTTATGGTGTTTTTTTAATTGGAAAACTTAGTGTATGTGACATGTACCGTTCTTAATACAGCAATCCAATATGAAGAGCTGTTGTTTAAACAGACCCATTTCTGGATGCAACTCTATGGTATCCTAGAAAATTTGAGCAGACCTCATCCTCATTTCAACTCTGTTATGCTACGCACCATTTCTGCAGGGCAAATACAGAGCTTCCTACAAAGCTAGATCTTATTCCTTATCTTTCAGATACTAATATTTTCATAGCTGCTGAAAATGAATTTCCTTCCTGAATAATGAAACCATCTCTTCATCCAATTCCCAAATCCCCATGTGCTTCCCAGGTTTGGAGATGGCTACATTGTCACTCTGAAAATCAAAGCTCCAAAGTCTGGGCTGCCTCCAGATCCTACTCCTGCTGAGCAATTCATACGCCTGAACTTCCCAGGCAGTTTACAGAGAGAGAAACATTACAACATGCTGCAGTATCAGATTTGCTCCTCCTCTCTGGCTAAGATTTTTCGGTTAATAATCTCCAATAAGGAAAACTTGCATATTGAAGAATATTCTGTGTCTCAAACAACTTTAGATCAGGTGAGTGAAAAATAAAGCATCCATGCAAAATCCTGTCTGGCAAGAATTAGGCAATGCAATAGCGATGTATCCAAACAACCAAAGGACCAAACTGTTCAGGGTAGAGAATCATCTTGCACCTCTTTCTCAGGCAAAATTCCCATCAGGGAGAGTGGATCAGATATGAAATCTGTAACTAATCCTTGTGTAAATAGGTGCTATTTGAAATCTGGTAAGACAGTGGTTCCCAGACACCAGAATTCATACAACCCATTCCTTCAGGAGCAGCAGTCTGAGCAAGGTCAGCTATTCAGAATGAGGCTTGCTGAGCTGGGAATAATGTTTTATTTAAAATAAGAGATTTGGACTGTGTTGTGTCAGAGATACTGTGACATCTAATTAAATGTTTATATGTCTCTGTCACATACTTTTATACAGGAGCAATTAGGCACGCAAAACCTGGAAAGCCCACTGTGATTATTGGCAACACCCACTTGCTAGAGGGTATTGGCCCCACGAACCAGCTTTCCTATGTAGCTGAGGATCCACATATGCAAAACTGGTTTTGATGGGAATGCTAGAGACACATTCCTCGCTGCCTTACAGCTTCCTAAAATATTCTGTCTCAACCAAACTCACTTATGTTGTGCAAGCCATGCAAAACCTTGCTGAACCCATCTCCCGCTTAAGAAAAAATGGGATTTTAGTTGCAAGTAAGTGCATCCAAAGGAAGGAAGCTGCAAGGAAATTTATAAAAATAAATAAGAAATTAATGAACCTTGCTAATACACAGTGTCTCAGTTCAGCTCACATCTATAGATTCCCCTTTCTGTCTCTTCCCTGCAGAGGCCAAGAGGATGCAAATGTACAGAGACGTTCCACTAACTCATCTCAGCTGATGAGATGGTGACTTTTCTGCTTTCCTCACACAGGTTTTTGTGAACTTTGCTAAACAGCAGATGGAGGATGAGGAAATTCCTTTGCATCCCCGTGCAGCTGGAGCCAGCCGAGAAGCAAAGGTGTCCCCTGCTTTGCATCAGCAGGCAGTTGCATAAACTATTCCTATAGTCACTAGCTCTTAGATTGTGCACAGTGCAAAGATGTGCCATACCAGAGCAGTACAAGGGTAAGACAAAGGTTCCTACACTCAGTATTATACTGATTTTTTGCACCTTTCTGAGCACTGTGCTCACAACAGCAACAGCCCTAGCAACAGCCAACTTCTACTGCTCTACCAGGAACACCACATGCTGAAAGTGTCAAAGGAAAGGCAGGTCCTTGCTATAAACAAAATCTTCTTCTAACATAAATTGCATTATAAGGTACAAGAAGAGAAGTCTCATTCCTCCTTGTTGACATGTAAAGAGCATTAAAGACAGTTTATCTATCTGGTCCTTTCAGGCTGGTAGGTTTTTCTTGTTTAACTCTTAAGTCAACTGCTAGTCAGCAGACAGGTCCCAAGGCAGAAAGCATTGCCTGGCTTAGAAGTGGATTTCTGCCATCCTGAGTGCACAGGACTACCAAGGTCAGAACATCAATGCTGGCTGATGAGGCTAGTGCTGGGAGACGGCTTCAATGTCTCACCAGGCTGCCAGTGAAAACAGACAGTTGTCTCAGCAAGAATGGGAAGAATTAATTCACATCTCAGACCCAGGCAAGAAGTCTGCTTTAAAAAAAAAAAAATCTTAATGAAAATTATCTCATATTGATCTTCAAGTTTCTCAAATAGAAGCAGAATGTCAAAATGGAGATTAAAAGGAAAGAGAGCATGTCCAAATCTGCCAAAAGTTTTGTTTTCTCATGAAGGCTTGGAAAGATACCTTTGTTACTAAACAAGATCAAATTTTTCTTCTTTCCTGTGACTGGACTTAAGTGGGTATAAAGTGTGAATAGGGTATGTGCTTTCTCTGCTGAGAAGGAAAATTTCAACCTGCTTGTACTCCACACTGCACTCAGTGAGAAATCATTTGGCATTTCAATTTTTTCTCTGTTTCACAGTTAAACTCGTGGAAAATAACAACACTGAAAACAAATTCATAATGATGTATTGCTTCAGTTATCTACCAGGCCTAACAATTTGTAAGAAATCTTCTCTAAGATATGTTATACAGAAATAAAATCTGGGTCATTCATTTTTGCTCTGTTAGGTATTTTTCTTCAATTTCTATAGATTTTTTTTTATATAAGGACATACTTGCTTTTTACTGTACAAAATATTATGAAACTTCAGCAACCAGCTGTAGTCGTTATCTTTTGCCATAATTATTTCAACTGATTTAAAAATATAGTCTAGAATTTATTGCATATTTCACCCTTACAAATAGTTGCAAAATCTTTCTATACATCCGTTATAGAGAAATAAATTAATTGTGAAACAAAACAGTATCTATGCATTCTCTTCATAATCTAAAATGGCTTTAAAATGTAATTTAGATAAGATTGCAATAGTCTTTTTTTTACTAGATTTGCACAAAACCCAACTAAGTCCCACTGAACATCTTATGAAAAAGAAAACACAGGAAATCCAAAATGTAGCTGATTTTTCTCCCCGGCTCTGAAAATAGGAAGGGAGCTAGCATTCTGAGGACTCGCAGTCACTTCACACATTTACAAAGTGTATTAAAAATTATTCAGAGAATGCTGACATAAAATGCTAGGTAAAAGGGTCTTTAGTATCTTAAGTACTTGTTATATGGAAACAGGCCAAATATCACAGATATAGCATAGGTCAGATCTTCTGAACCTTATTTACCAGTATGCAATTTACTAATGAAGACGACTAAAAACAAACAAACAAATAACCCCAACAACTCAGGATGTTACATCCACAAATCTTTCTTCAGATTCTTTTGGCAAATTAGGGGTTAGACCCAAATAGGGTATTTGAGATATTGCCTTTTTTTTTATTCCAGGAACCATTCATATTCTTTGGTAATGTTATTTGTTACAAAGCACCTGCTTCCAGGCAGCACGCTCTCTTCTTCAAGTCAAAGAAGGCAGATCATGCAACTGTCTTCAGGCCAGCTGGCTGTGCTGGCTGAGCCGAGCTCTCTAGTAGTTAACTGGAATGTCCTCATTCCAATGTACTTATGTCTTGCAGAATGCCACTGCTAAATTTGGAGCTGCTTTTCAGCACAGACTTCTCAGTATCTCTGATCCATCAATCTAAATAGACTAGTACAGGAAAATCTAAGTCAGGTTACAGTGAACTGTAAGGGCTTTTGACTACCAGCTGTGCAATGAAGCCTTAATTTTTGAAGGTGCTTCTGAGTTGAAAATTCTTGAATGTAAGGAAGTGCAGATTTCAAGTGCATACAATTTCCCTCAGCACTGGAGTTTCAACATGCACCAAAATCCTTAAATTAATTCACTTATTTGGAAGATTTATGAGCTTTTTCGTCTTGAAGTTCTGTGCAATATTCAAATTAAACCTTTTTTCTTACAACAAAAAGGGAATAATTGGCATTCGAAGACTTGGATAATCCTTGAATTCTCGTAGGTAGGTGCAGTGTTTATCCTTTGCCCAGATTGTCATCTGAATGAAGCAAAGCAAGGTGAACAGCCCCACTGGAAGGAAGGGAGAAAAAATACTTTTTATTATCAGATTAAAAACATACTCTTGTTGCTGACATCACTTCAGGGTGAAGTACCAAAACATTACTCACCTGGCACACATTGAGTCATGATAGTGAAACTGATCCAGGTCCCCACCTGTTTTGGCCAAGGAAATTTAAAATATTTCTGGTGACAGCATTTGCATTTCTGTCTCTATTGATCAAAAACAACCTTGTCCTAATGCAGGTAAATAAAAAAGCCAAGGTCAGCCAGATCAATATCTAGTGTTAATAACCTTTAGCCAAAAAGGTGAACAGCACCTTATTATCACAAACAAGACCATGTTTGCTTCCATAGCTATTATCATGACAAAATTTTAAGCATTACAACATAGCATCCTTTCCGTTTCTCTGCCTAATTTGTATTTGTCACACGTCCATCAGTGCTAGGAATGGTAACTTTCTATGGTCTGAGGCCAGATGCTGTTCTCACTAACATCATTAACCTCCACTTCAGTTAAAGCCTGATGCTGTCCTTCTGTGCAAGAGTGAATTTTACACTGGGTTGTACTGGTTTTAACTGCTTTTGAACGGAGTCAGGAGTTTGGCTCCTGACTAAGGAATGTGAAGTGATAAACTGATTCAAGCTTTTAAAGCAGTCACCACCAACATAAGCAACTGTATAACTTAAGGAAAATGGGGAAGGTGACCTGGGCCTATTTCCTGATTTCTCTACCACAGTATCTTCTATTCATCTATTTCCCCATTTTGTCTACCACAATATTTTCTATTCGTCTGCCCACTATCTTCCTGTGTACTGTGATATTCCTGGGTTCTCTTATGTTATAAATGCACCAGATACCCCCATCCCCTCATTGCAACACACACTCAGTGGCAATCTTCCTGTTCCTGTCTGCAAAATTGCTTTGCTTTAAAGTGTATCTATCTTGTCTAGCAGCCACACTGAAGCATAGACCCAGGGTCTGGGCTGTCTGTTTAAGGTTAGCCCTCTAATGATTGCCTCAAGGGAGGAGAGGAAGAACAGACAAGTTCCCATCTGCAATCTGATTTCATGGCGTTTAGGGAAGGAGGGCAAATGTATTGAGCTGAACTGTTTCAGAGGTTTCTTCCATGTTTAACATAAAGAAATTAAAATATATTCAGCAAAGCTAAAATCTGAACATCTTGTTTGAAAATACATACCTCATAAGTATAGTTAGGGCAAGATACAAAGAAAAACAGCCATGTGAAAGGATTCTTTGTTGGATATGGGATCTTACGGGTTTTGGATCCTATAGATTAGAAAACAAATCACAAAATATTCACACTCCTAAATATATTGTTTCCTATAAAGACAACCCAACTCTTCCTACTCCTGAGTCTTATCACTGTCAGAGGGACAAGCAGGATGTGGGAAAACAGGATGTCCTCTGGACCCACAGGAAGGAATAGGATAACTGTAAGGAAATGCTCTGAGCATTAGAAAGTCATCTACATATGCCTTTGATCACAGTCACTCCTGTAAGAAGAGGTACCTCAAGTTTTAGATTTAGAAGTTAAAAGTTTTCTCAGATTGTCACAGAGTGGGATTTTAGCAATTACAGTTGATAGTCGTAAGATGTTTGGCTCATGCCCAGGGAAGCCTGGCCTGCACGGAGATCTTGTGCTCCCTGTAGAAGCCAGTGAAATTACTTTCCCTGGCTCACCAAAGCACAGCTTATACTAGCGCTGTTTCCTTTTGCACTACCAGTGTAACTGGTATGTAACTGATACCCCCAACACAACCTGGCACTAACCAATAAAAATTACAGCAAGAAAAGAAGTGCTGTTTAACAGTCTGGTGTTGGATTCCTTGCACTGTCTGATCTCTCCTAGAATCCAATCTTACGGTGCTGAGCAACCTGCAGTGCCACAGGTGTCAGCTGGTGGGTATCAAGGCCCTCCAGGATCGGGTCTTTCATGAGGCAGAGTAACTGTAGAAGTACTGAACGGCTGCACAAAAGTGAAAAATTATAATACAATTTTTACCATTTCTCCGGAGGTCACTGAGTGCAACATGAATGGAAAAATTTCCAGCTTCACACAGCTGCAAGAAAAAGCATGACAGTGTTAAAAATGTGCTTCCCTTCTATTTACTCTTCTTCCTTTTGTTATTTCCTGGGGTACTTTTAGAAAAAAAAAGGGGGGGGGGGGGAGAATAATAAATATGCTTAACCAAGATTGCTGTCAGAAAGGAGGATGGAATGTCTTTGTTCAAATATGAGTCCATATTATACTCTGTTACGTATTTGTGATATTTACCAGCAAATATGGACTCAGTGTCCAAAAGATCAAATTTGCTACTTACTTAATCCCTATGAGATCTAAAAGCAATAAACCAAAGGGAATAAAAGTAAACCCAGGAGATACTTGCTTTATCTTTTGGTTATTTTTATGTCTTTAAAAATACCCAAAAAATTGATTTGGATAGTTTTGGTTTCTCAGAAGTTATTAAAATCCCAAGGAAGATATGGGTAGGACTCTAAGTAAGTTTTCTTCTCTAGAGTATAATTTATATGATTCATGAATTATAATTGATGCAGCTTCCTCCACTAGTTTTAAATAATGCTTCCCTAATCAATTACACAGAGTAGTAAAATGACCCATTTATATGATTATGGACAGTTTCCAGTATCTGCAAAACATAACTACTCAAGAAATGACTGGTGGTCAGAGCTCCGGAGTTTTATTCCCAGCTCTGTGCTTTCAGTTACATAGTCTCTCTATAAAACAACTGATGTTCTAAACAAGTTACACATGCATAGGAAAAATGGGTACATCTTTGTTGACTATATTAATGTTTCTTCTGCATGTATGAAATGCTCCTAGGAACTGTGATAATGAACAGACAGTGACTTAAGCATTTTGCTTCAGAAGGAAAGCTGTAAAAAATTTCTGAAGCCCCGCAAAATGAACCTCTATCCCTGGAAATTATCAGTAACATACTTTCTTAGTTGGCCGGTTCTCCAAATTTTATGATCTGTTGTGATTCTTAACACTCAATATTTAAACACAGTGTCACAAAATGGTAGTTCCAGGATTCTCCAAGATTATGAGAGATCATCCCAGCAGATAAATATCCCAGTCTTGGAATGGATACTGAATCAAAATCTTCCTTTCTGTACGAGATCTTAAAAACTGACAGATTTACCTGTTCTGCATGCAAGCAGTCAGCTTTAGTAGTATGTCCTGAGTGTTCAAGTTCTACATGTCTGCTTATCCTACTCACTCTTCCACTTATACAGCATAAGAAATAAAGCAACGTTTTAGCATTTTGTAAAAAGAGCAACAAACCTACCAGAAACATGATCACAGCAAAATTTATCTGTTTTTTCCCATAAGCTATAAAAAAAGTTGACATATGATTAGTACTAATATACAAACACATACGTACTTAAATGATATTGAGGGTTGCTTGGCTACTTACAAGGAGGAGTGTAAAGAGGATGATTGATGTAATAAGCAAGCCAAGCTGCAAATCCCCAGTAATACAAGCAGTTCTGAAAAACAGGGAATTTTTCTTGTTTTAGTACAATCGTCTAGGCCAGTATTCACTGCAGGGACCACTGATAACAATGAATTGGGCTGATCCTTCAAGTTGCTGATAATATAACAAAAAATGACAATACGAAGTGTGGTAAGGTGGGAGAAGACAACAGGAAATTACAGGAAGGAAATAGTGCTCATAGAGTAAGATTTCCTCCCAAATATCTTGGAGCTGTTACGTTTATAAACAGTTTTAGAAAGTATGATCATACTATCGAAAACAAATTTATCTTGTCTGGCAAGAAGTCTGGCCAAAGATGAAGTGCCATACAGACTGTATGTTAAAGGGAGACTTGTTTTGCTAACCCCCGAGAATCTGTAAAACAAGGTTTAGGCACTGTGCTCTCTTCCCTGCTTATTACTTTGTATTGCCCCATCTCTTGCCCTTCCTCTTCTCCTTTACCCCATCAGTTTTCTTTCTTTCCTGTGCTTTAACTTTTCCTACCTAAAGTCATCATGTCTGATGCTTTCCTCTGCCCTTTCAAGGCGATATCCTTTTGGTGCTGTCATTGGCTTTCTGTGATCCAGCTTCCATTCTCTGAACTCTGGTAAGATAGCTGTCACTAGTGGCTGTACTGGCTCATTCCTGACCAGTCTCAGAGCTTGTTCACAGGCTTCATCTATGAAAAAATCAATTTACAATGACAATCTCTACCTCTTGTTTAGTTTTCCTGGCCCTGCCTCTTGTGGTTTTTCTTCTGATACTCATTGCTGCTTCAGAATGTTGGCAACAGGTTGTCTTCTCCTTCCTTATGTATCTGTAGGTAGCAGGGAGGCCCTTTCTTGGCCCATTCCTCCCCTGCCTTGACACTGTCACCTCTAGGTGCCATTCTCTTGCAGACAGACTTGTTGACAACTCATAAACTTGCCTCTCATCGGTTGAGATTTCTTCCTGTATCAAACCTGGTGCCTCTGTTTTTAGTGTTTTAGGGCATGTTTGGTTACCACTTGGACTTCAGCAAGACCAAAACTGAGATCTTTGTCTTCCTTTCACCTCTTCTTGTTCTTTTCCTTCCCTTATCTTTCCTTCCCTCCCATTTTCACTCTGGAGTAAAACACTGATCATCTTACTCTTTCTGGTGATGTGTTTTTCTTGGCCTTTCCAAAAGGTTCACGTACCTTACACATTTCTAGGTCTTTCTGCTTTCTCCTTCACAGCTTTCCTTTCCTGCTCACGCAGCGAAAATTCTTATCCAAGGCTGCATTCTTTCCTGTCCTGACTGGTTTAGCTTTTGGTTTTGGCTTTGAATTTTGCAGCCTTTTCCCCTGTATATACACCAGAACTGCACTTCTAGCAATAATACCCCAAAAAGTGTTTACCTCAGCATCTTCAACCCACACCATCTGACTGCAGTGTCTGATCATGCATTTTTCTGAAAATGCTGGTGAGGGGTAAGCCCCCTCATCTGCTGCAAACAGTTGTATCAAACATTCTGTTGCATTTCCACTTTCTTTTCAGAGTTAATTGAACCACTGATGTGCCTGGAGGCCTCAGACAAAATGGACACCCTTTTGGGTAAGCCCATAGTCCTCGCTCTGAGATTATATACTAATACATAACTGATGAGAAAGAGCAAATTATTAACCAATAATTACAGATCAGGTGAGACAAAAGAGCAGAGACATTAAGTAACTTCCCCGTGACGACTTCCCTTTTCCCCAGGAAAAGCAGCAGAGACAGAAGAATGACTCCAGTGAGGAGCAGTCTAGTGAGTATCCTATCCATAAACTACTGCTTCCTCCCTAACGCTAGCTGCTTCTACCATCACCTACAATTTACTAACTGCTGTACAAACTTAGGTGTTTCTTGTAATCTTGGAATAGCATCTTACGAAAAACCTTTCCCTAACTTCAGGGCTTGGCACAGGGTAGATCATATGGCAATGGATTTCGGTAAAGTAAAATCAAATAAGTAAATTATCATGGCTCAGCTCCCAACAATACATGCTGTAATTAAACTGAACAAGTACTATTCATCCAAAGAACATGATTTACTGCAAGGGTATTCCTCAGTTATAAGAAAAGGAGCTTTAAGATGAGTGGAGTCTGCCACTGCTAAGGTCCTTAGCATTAACACTGTAAATGTCCAGCTGCCACTAGAAGCCTTATTGCTCATACAAAACCCTCCAGTGAGGTTCAGACAGGAACAGCAGAGTACATGCAGACTTCATAAACTCACTTGAAAGAAGGAAATTGTTTCTGTGAATCTTTCATATTCCAGGTGAATAATAAAGCTTTACAACAATCTCTTATACAATGATTTTGTGGATCAAGTTCAGATACTGCAGGGATCCCATAAATAAACGATTTCTAAGTTTACAAAGTTATGGGTAGGATTTTTGTCTTCTCTACCCCAATTGATGATCCCTACAACAATCAAAACTACTTCTTAATGCCCTGCCAGTGTTTATTCATGACCAGCATGTACCCTTCTGTTTGTCTTGTTATATTGTCTTCCAGTTTAAATGGTATTTCTTTAGGTCTAGTGTGTTTTTTCCTCCAGATGTTTTTATAGAAAGTGACGATATCCCTTCTTTGTACCCATGAAAATGCTCAATAAGACCAGTCATAAGGCTAATCTTTGAGGAATTCCACTCCCTATTACTAAAGGTGTGACAGATCTTTTTCTGGCTCAACCACATCATCTTTCCTTTAGTTAGTTCCTTTATCACCACACAATTTTTGTATTAATACCTATCTTATTTACCCTGAGCCAGTTGCTACTAGGTCCAGATAAATCAGGTATTCTACCTTTCCCTTGCCTACAAAAATCACATATCTTAGAAAGAATTATACTATGCTAGTATATAGCATGAACTGCTTTTGGTGAACCCCTGCTGCATTTTACGGCATCATTTATTCCTATTTCCATTTGGTAAACAAAGGATGAAAATCACAAATCTCATCAATTCCTGTATCAGACCTCTGCTTATTGAGACTGAAGTGTCTCTTGTTAAAGGTAGCTTTCCATTGCACTTAGGAAATAAGCTATTTGTATCTGCTATGTATGTGATCAAACACATACACGAGCTTCTTTAAAGAAACTCTGTCTACCATCTGTATGTGAGAAGAAAAAGGGAAGAGGATGTGATATTTTTCTCACTGGTACAATTCTGGAGTAACACCACCAAAGTCAATGAAATTATAAAAGCAAATCAAACCCAAGCATGGCCAAGCAGGTAGAATAACAACTGTGAGCAACTTTACAGATGAAAGCAAGTACCACCAACCTGAGAAGGTGGAAAAGTAGAAATCATCAGAATGACTGGTACAAATGTCAATTTTAGCAACAACACTTTGTATGGTCTGAAAGGAATGAGTAGTTGTCAGAGATGGCAGTGAGAACATGAAGATTTATCATACTATACAGATTCTTTTTCAAGGTAAAGTTACTAATTTATCTGCTGTCTAGCATGCGGTAGCTACTGTTGTGTCAAGAACAAGTCTTTAAGAGATCTGCTAGCCTTTTAACAACTTCTGCACTCTTCCGCTGAAGGAAACACAGTAAATTGTGAGGGAGGATTCTTTATAATGGGCCATTGCTCAACTACAGACCCTCCTTCCATTTAGAAAGAATGAAGCTGTGGCCACATAGCACCAGAGCCGCTGCACAGCTGTAAGGAGCTAGCCACAAGGTAGAGCTTCAGCTGCTGGGATTGTCACTGCCATAATGCAAATTCCAAGGGACTGTCTAAATACCAAATGTTAAATACCCAAATGCTGATACTATACTACATGCTTTTCCAGTTGCAGATGACAATCTCCTGTTTTCCTGAGTACAAAGCATATTTTTGAATACCAGTGTGTAGTCTGTTGCAAACATTTGTAAAGTCGCTACAACCCATGCATAACCATGCAGTCCACTGTACTGCTTCGCAGACGTATAGGAAATCGGGGGTCTGCATCTCAACAGCTGCCCTGTGCCACAGCAGCACTGGTAACGTTAGAGAGTGCTCCTATGGGAGAAGAAAATGCAGAGCAACCAAGCTGCTTTGTGCTAGATCAAAGGTAAATTAACAGTTTCTTAACAGCAAAGAGAGCGTTAGGGGCAAAGAAGGTGTAAAACGACTGTTACAAAAAGACTTTTTTTTAAATAAGCAAACCTCCCAATTTTGTGCCTGCATGTGCTACCTTGAAAGTTAACGTTGTTACCAAAACCTTCACACCCGAGGAGCTAGCCAAGTGAAAAGGAAGGGTATGCAGAAGGTTTAAAATTCTAAAAGAGCAATGAGACTACTATAACATGAATAACAGTATGGCAACATGTGGGTTATACAATAGCGACATTAAGAAATCTTTTGAAAGAACTGCAGCTTTATGGGTGAGGTTGGCAGTGTAGTACTACAAAAACCACACCAAAAAATCAGTGCTGCAGAGGCGGAGCATAGGTTGGATAGGTTGGATTTGTAAGGGGGGGCTATGGATAGATTCTGACACAATTTACCTTCACAATATTCCTCAGTGGCATAGTCCCATGGGAGAACCGATGAACAAATACTGTTTCAATCAACCTTTTGATGTAGTGGAAAGAATGGCAGATACATGCCAAGCTAGAAACAGCAAGACAAAAGCATTTAAGAGTGCTTAAAAAAACAAGTGTGGCAAGACATTTGGAATAAGACTACAATGCTAACAAGAAATACTGCTCAAGCCTGCAAACGGACTTACTTAACTACTGGATGCGGGCTTGATGTAAACCTCTCATCCAGTCCATAGACAAAAGGCATGCGTAAATAAAACAGAAAATAGATGAGCAATGGACCTGTATATTCTATCAAAAATACCTGCAAAAAGAGAGAAAATAATTAGACAGCTGAATTAGATGACGGGTTTGCTTTGGTTTCTTTGTAATAACTAATGCTGTGGGATAAATACCTCCACTGACCCAGGATGGCATTTAGAGAGGCAGGGAGGTAATAGCAGGTTTGGGCTTGGGCTATAAAACTGGTAGACATGCACGTAAATGTTTTGCAATGCATTTGCCTCAGTTGCATACAAACAGCCATTGCCAGTGCAGCTGACACAGTGTGGGTATGAAAAGATAATAATGGCAGCCCAGAGATCACAATAAATATGCATGCATGTTACATTTACGCAGCTCTCACCCTCCTCTTGCCCTCAAAAACTGTTGCTTTATTTTGGGTTAAAATGAAATTTGGTGAAGAATTTATCTTGAAAAAGAGGAGCATTGTTTCTAATGAATGAATTTTGTTTAAACTGGAAACACAGCTTGTAAGTGTTCACAGGTGACCCCATTGGTATGAACAGTTAGCACAGCATATGTCCCGTGAAACAATCAATTCATTCTATGGTCAAACAATCTTTAATTGGAACACAGAGGGGAAAAAAAAAAAAAAAAAAGAGAAGTTATTATCTAACTTGATTTCATTCCCGATAGGTGTGCATTTCTTAGGACCATCACTTTAAATTGAAGTTAACTTTGGACCAAACATCAACAGTTGAATTTTCCACACTTCTGTAAGTGAGGAAGGTAGGCCCACACCTCATTTATGGAGAAAGAAGGAAAATGGATTGTACTTCTGTCAAAAAGAAAAAAAAAAACAACACAACCCCACACCCACTGATTTCTAATGTGTTTAGAGTTATTTTGACACTCAGAAAAGTTGTGTTCTAGACTTCCATAACAATCAGCATTTCCTCTGGCAAAGATTGGACTTGATTGTAGATGAGAAGTTTGTCTTTTTTATTTGCTAAAGGTTTCTGGCTTACATTTGAATGAAGTAGCTTGAGGGGCAGGGAGAGCCAAATGTAAAGGAAAGATTATGGAATGGCAGAAGTCTGGTGTTACTCTGCACTGTGATATTTTCGTATATATTAATGTGTGTGTGTCTTGGAGTCTACATTGCCATTAGAAGTTTTTTCCCTGTCTTGCTGTTGGATTGTGTAATAGCTGCCTGATTTATCAGCACTGGATCCAAAGAAATTATGCGAAAATTCAGTCTTGCAGAACATTTGACTTTATTTTACTTCCTATGAATGTTGTCTTTGCTATTTGTCATTAACACAAGGTTTCATTAACATCTCATAGCTAAGAAATGGTAAATGTGCCTTTAAATTACGAGGTACTTTTCCCTTCATGCTGTGCTGTTTCATTGAACTACTGTAATATGTGCATCATGGACCTTCTGAAGAACTGGAAGGGTCATTGTCCACCTCACTGCATAAAAAGCAGTACTGTGTTGCCTGCCGAGTGGGTTGTAACAGAATTTGCATTTGAGTGAAGACAGTAAATGTACGAGGTCTTTGTGGATGGCTACTAATATTGCAGAAATTATCAGCTGTCATTAGCCTGATACTAGCATCCTGGGACGCAGCCACATGCAGACAGCTAACTCATGTTACTTTCGTGCATTTTCCTGCT